TTGGACATGGGAACAGGGCAGGGGAAGGAGGGAATGAGGCAATGAAAGGTCAGAGGGTGCCTGGAGTGTGGAAAAGCTGAATTCCTCCTCCCCAAAGTGAATAAACATCCCCTGGGAGCAGGGCAGGGATCTCTTTGGCTGAAATCTGAGTGATTTCCCTGGCTCTGAGCTCTCCCATCGCCTGCCTGGGGTCACAGCACCCCAAAACAACAGTGGGACGCCCAAAAGGGACACCAACCCCCCCAAGGGACAAACCATCACATCCCCTCCCTGGGTGTGAGGCTGCATTTTGTACCATTCCTAAAAATATTCCTGATCCCTCAAGTGAAAACCGGGTGGCTCAGATTTGAAAACCAAAATGGGAACAGCTGAGCTGCATCCATGGTGTTTTCTCACCTCCTCTCCCTTCTCTCTTCACTCCTTCCACGTCGGGGAGAGGGTGGCAAAGGAGTGACCAAAAATGTAGAGAAACCAGGCAATGAAACATTTTTCTCCTGTTTATTTCTTTCCTTGTTTGAGAGGGGAGAAAGTTTTTATAAGCCCAGACATATATTTTATTAGAAAAAGGGCTTTTAATTTTTTTTTTTTTGATCCCAGTGAAAGAGGATTGTTATGGTTTTGGTCAGTGCCTGTCCCCTCCGGCCCTTGTAGAGAAGCCAAATCCACCCAGGCTCTGTCCAGAAAACCATTTTCCCTCTCTTTTGTTCTTTCATGGGAAGCTGAGGCAACAGGCAGCATTTCCCCAGTTTTGGGGTGCACAGGTCACCTCAGAGCTGGTTTCCAGAGAGGTTTGGGTGTGCTGCTGGCACAGACAGCTCGTTCTGCCCCTTGTTCCTTGGCACTGCCACTGCTGCCAGGCCCAGTGGACTGCACTCCACTGCCAGTTTCCTGGGAAAACGACTCCCAGTTATGCCAAATTTTAACTTTCAGAACAAGCAGAACTGCACTCAAACCCATCCTGCACATTGTGTTTCTGCTGCCTCTAACCTCTGCTGCCACTTGGCACCGCAGCCCAAAGGGGAGTTTCGGGGGCTGCAGGTTGCAAACTGTGCCAGGGATGCAGCAGGATGGAATTTTGGAATTACAGCGCTGGCAGGGAGGCCTCCAGCTGGGATTTTTTATTTTCATTTATCCTTGTTTTGCAGCCAGGATGTGCCAAAAGCTGCATTTATGGACTGGGCCGAGCCAGAGGCAGGAGGTGCCTGTTGCTCCCACCTGCCCTGGCACTCCCAGACCTGCAGTCAGATCCTTTATTTTCAGCCCCACAATTCCTTCCTGTCGGAGCACTCTTGCATAATTAAGAGGTGAAGCTGGCAGGCTGCATGCAGCTAATACAGATATGATTAATTTCCATCCCTCTGTTTGATTTGGAAGGTTGTCCTTCCCCAGGCTCCGTCCCAGATGGATGGAAAGCTGCCAGACGGACGCGTCTTGGAGGGACAGAGGGACAAGACACGGGGAAGTTCAGTGCTTGGGAAAAGTGACCTTTCTTGGTAACTCATTTGTCACTTCCCAGCACCATCTGCTGACTCTTCAGCTGCATCCATCACAACCATGTGAAGAAAAGCACTGGAAAAGTCAATTCAAATGGGAATGGGATGGGGGTTGTGCAAATTGTTTAGGGAAGGGAGAGGTCACCCCTACATTGTGTGGGTGACATCCTTTCCATCACCCCCAGCCACATTCCCGGGGAGCAAAGCTGAGCTGGAGTCTCTGGGGGTTTTGTGATAAGCTGGGGAGGATGCCCAGGGATCCGGGAAGCACCTGAGTGCTGGACACGAGGCTTTTCAGGAGTGCTCTGTCCCAAATCGAGCGTTATTGACAGCTGTGACAGCAGCAGCTCCCTGTGACACCCGGTGTGCCCGCGTCCTATTGACTGCCTGCAATGGGGCCAGGTGACAAATGCCATTCCCAGGTGACAAATGCCATTCCCAGGTGACAAAACATTCCCAGGTGACAAAGGGCATTCCCAGGTGACAAACCATTCCCAGGTGACAAACGCCATTCCCAGGTGACAAACCATTCCCAGGTGACAAACAGCATTCCCAGGTGACAAATGCCATTCCCAGGTGACAAACGCCATTCCCAGGTGACAAACAGCATTCCCAGGTGACNTGACAAACGTCATTCCCAGGTGACAAATGCCATTCCCAGGTGACAAACGTCATTCCCAGGTGACAAAGGGCATTCCCAGGTGACAAACAGCATTCCCAGGTGACAAAGGGCATTCCCAGGTGACAAACCATTCCCAGGTGACAAACCATTCCCAGGTAACAAACAGCATTCCCAGGTAACAAACAGCATTCCCAGGTGACAAATGCCATTCCCAGGTGACAAAGGGCATTCCCAGGTAACAAACGCCACTCCCCCGTGATAAACGCCATTCCCAGGTGACAAACGCCATTCCCAGGTGACAAAGGGCATTCCCGGGCTGGGCAATGGCCGTTCCCGATATCCCTCCCCGGGCAGGCAGGAATGCTCCCCGCTCTCGCAGCCCATGGAGCCCCTGGATGCAGGAGGATTTCATGGATTCCCAGCTCGTTTTTCCCTCCTGCTCCTCGCCTGGCTGCTCCCAGACTCCCTCAGGAGCAGCTCCAGGATGTGCCTGGCCTGATCCCAAAGCCTCTCCTGGCACCAGCTCCTGGCTGATGGTCCTGGGAGAGTGTGGATGAGTTCTTGCACAATTCCCTCCCTCTCTCAGCACCTCGTTTGTCTGGAGAGGGATGACAGTGCAGGATTTGTGTTCCCGAGAGGGATCAGTGTGCCAGGCTCAGTGAGGATGGGAGAAGGAGCCACTTGAAGACTTCAAGTGGCAATTTTGATATTATTGTGATTTGCAATTACCGTAGAAATATAATTGACACAGGTGTCATTGTAGTGCTGGGACATTCACCACCTAAAATACTCATTCTGCAGGCTCAGTGTCTAGAAACAGAAGCCAGGAGAGAGGAATTTCTCTAAATCAGAGTTGGAGAAACTGAGGCAGCAGCTGATCTGTCTCAGCTGTGGGACCACCAGGAACAGCAGAAGAACGTGGGCAGGGAGCAGAGGGGATCTGCCTGGAAACGAGAAACTCAGAAACCTCCAATGCAGATAACATTCCCTGCCTGGGAAAGGCGTTTCCATGCAGGCCAGGCAGCTGGGCAGGGTGACAGGTGAGTGACTGCAGTGCCTGCATGGGTTTATAAAGGGAGGAGAAGCAGCAGGAGCACCCAGGTGTGACAGGAGGGACAAGAGCTCTGACCCCCAGTGTCCCGTGGCTGCACCCCCAGGTAGGTCTGGGCACCTCTTGGCCACAGCAGAGCCAGCTCTGAGGAGGAGGAGGGAACAAAACCGATGCTGAAACAATGGGAAGGTGCTTTTCCTTCATCCCCACCTCAGGAGCACCAATTCCAGCAGCTCCTGCCTCCTGTGGGCACCTGGCAGACACTGGGCACTGCCACAGAGCTGTGGGGAGCCCAGTGCCCTCTGAGCAGGCAGAAAATGACCCTCAGACAGGTCCCAGTGCCAGGAATGGCTGGATTTTGGGGGAGACAGCTCAGTAGTGAATGTCCTGTCCTGTCACTGTGCCAGCTGCCCACCCCTCCTGCCCCCAGGCTGGCACTTGTCTGGGTTTTGAGGGGTGTCCCAGCCCTGTGTGCCCGCAGTGCTGATGCTGAACTCGGCATCCTCCTGCTTTTTTCTTTTCCCTGTGGAGCTGGGAAGCAAATCCAGCAAGTGCTCTCTGCTGGAGAGGTGCTGAGCTGGAGATCTTGGGGCTGGAATTCAGGTCCTGCTTGCCAAGCAAGGCAGGGCTCTCAGCAGGGCTGTTTCTCACTGGAGAGGTCTGTGCGGGTGTTTTTTTCTGGGAGAAGAGGGAGAGAGAATCAATTCCCAAAGGGATTAGCCAAGAAGAGATGAAGGAAGTGACTGGGTGTATTTTCTTTGTATTCAGCAGGATTTTATTTATTTATATATTTACTGCAGTGATAGAACAAATGAAAAAGCACCAAAGATTGATGTTGCTGAGGTTGCATTGCAAGGGCAAAGCTGGAGAATTCCTGCTTGGATCCCTGCAGGAAACAGGGCTGGGACACCCTGGGATGTGCCAGGGCAGGAGGTGGCTCTGGTGGCCCAGTCTGGGTGGGCAGGGGGAGATGGCACCAGTGCAGTGCCAGGGAAGGGTGTGACTGACAGGTGCTGTGGAAAGGGAATATTTATTAACTTCCACTGGCCCTTGGTTCAATACCAGCTGATATTTATGGGAAATCTAATTCAGGAGTCAAATCTAACTTAACAATGTCTTCTCAATAATGTCCAAACCAAGAGGTTGCTGAAACTAATTAAGGATCAGGCTCCAATCAGGTGGAGAAGTTAAGCTGTAGGACTAGACTTCATTAAGTCTGTCCAGAGAGAATATTTTAATATTTAAAGAGAACATTCAATGTTTACATAAGTCCTTTCCTGAGGTGAAGTCACATTTAGATCACTTCAGAGGTGGTTTTTAAAGCCCTTTATTCCAGGCTCAGACAGAAAACGCCTTTCCCATTTCCCTTGCACTCAATGAGGCTTCTTAAGAGATCCAGTCCACCCAGGAAGGTTTTCAGTGGTGAGGCAAATCAAAACAAAAATTTAAAAACCAGCTGTTTGAAGGATTTTCTCTTTGCAGCATCTCTGTCTGCCAAGCTGGCATTGATGGGTTTGCTCTGGATGTGATCAGAGCTGCAGGGCTGATGCTCCAGAACTCAGGGGGGCTTGAGCAGTCCTGAAGGGCTGGGCTTGAAATCCCTGGAGATGTTGCTCAAGAACAAATCTGTTTACACAAACAGCTTTGAGAAGAGAATTGTCAGTCAAGGCACTTCTACTCTCAGTCAAAGCACTTCTGTTCTCAGCTCAGGAGCAACTGGAAGAGTAAATATCCCTCAGGTGGGCTGGGGTGCAGCTGGTGCAGAGCCAAAGGCGTTTTTGTCACACTTCCCTCTCCACTCCTGTCCCGGTGTCTCCTTTCCTGTGCTGTCCAGGCTCTCAGGATGGTTTCGAGGAAGGTGGTGGCCAGTTTGCTGCTGGTGTCCCTGCTGTCCGTGCTGGCTGAGCAGACCCAAGGCTTCATGCCCTTTTTCACCCAGAGTGACTTCCAGAAAATGCAGGTAACCCCTCTGGAATGAATAAACCAGGATAGGTTTCTCCTGCCCTCATCCCCCCAAACTGCAGTGCACGCCAACAGGAGACACTGTGATATCCTCCTCCCAAAATCCACGGCTTTGGGGGGAGGCAGAGGGGATTTTTAAGGTGTGAGATAGAAAGGGAGAGCCCAGACCCCCCTACCAAAGGTCGGCCACACCTGTGGGGGTGTCACCTGCGGTCCCTGCGGGTCCTTTCCCTTTGCTGGAATTCTTCCAGAGCAGCTGCATCAGCTCAGTGATGGCTCTTTTGTTGTAACAAATAATTAACCATCCCCCGGCTGGTTGTCACCTCTGGGACGTGCCGAGAGAACGTTTTTCCTTTTGAAGTGAAACAAATACCGTTGAAAGGTGTCAGGCAGGCTCGGAGACGGCAGCTTCTGAAACGCAGCCCCAGCCAGCTTCCCCCGCACTGCCGAGCCCCTGGATGCCGGGAGAAATCCCGATCCCACCGCCTCCCCCTGGGTAACAATGGCTGTTTGTGGGGAGCACAGGCGTTCTTCAGTCCTTGGGGAGGATGGGGACACGCATGGGCGGTGTTTGTACCCCATAGCATTGTAGCTCCGTGACTGCCAGGGATTGGGGTTTTCTGGGGAAATCTGTCCCCAAAGGCTGTCCCTGCCCCTCCTGTGCTCACACACTGCACACTGAGCAGGGCCAGTGCCACATTTGATGTGTCCTGGTGTGTCTGTCATAGTCCAAACCACCTCAGGCTTTTCCCAGAGGGTCCTGAAGGCAGCTAAATAAACGGGGATGGGCTGACATTACAGACCTGCAGAAAGGCCGGGGAAACGTGACCTCTGCACATGCAGGGCTCTACACGTGCAGGGCTGGGCTCAGTTTCCTTGCAGTGCTCCAGCACAGGCCTGGCCAGGTTCTGGGGCAGGTGGGGAAGGTCCCAGTGCTGTCAGCTCCCATGGAAAGGTCCCAGTGCTGTCAGCTCCCATGGCTCCTGACAGGGTTCCCCCACCACACGTGGCTCCTGTTTACTGCAGACCTTCACACCGTGCCCCGAAACCTGACCTCACCCCCAGCACTGCTGGATTTCAGTCCCCAAAGGTCACTCAGGCCACAGCTGATGGGCACTTCCACCACCTCACTGGTTCTGTGCCCAGCACTGTGGATTCCTGGCTGCTGGGACAGCACAGAGTGGGTTTGCTGCTGCTCCCAGCATCACCAACTGCCCCCTCTGCTCTCTGCCCCAAAACTGCAGGAAAAGGAGAGGAACAAGGCAGGGCAGAAGAAATCCCTGAGCTCGCTGCAGCAGCTGGAGGAGGAAGGTTTCTCTGAGCAATCTGGTGTGGATGTCAATGCAGCCAAGACCCTCCAGGTATGTGGAGCCACTGGGCACTGAGAAGCCCATGAGGACATGCAGGGGACAAGGAGCCCAAGAGATGTCCTCTGCCTGCTTACATCAGAGAGAAGTTTTAGCTCCATCCTAAATCATCTTGGTCCTTCAGCAGCCAGGTCACCCCTGAGACCCAACAGCCTCTCCCTGAGGAAGATGAGAACAGCTCGAGGTCTCTGCCAGGCAGTGAAGCACAGCCAGGTGCAAGGCAGGAACTCCCAGTTCTGCTTCAGCTCCTGCTTGGTGTCACCTCTGTCCCCACAGTTCTGTGCACTGGAGAGGCCTTATGTAAAAACTTGGGCTCTGAGTCTGTGCACAGAGCAGAAAATGGGCAATTTTAGGGATTGAAGTGCCAGGCTAAGCCCTCAAAGGCAGACTTACCTGGTGAGCCAAGTCTGAAAATTGTGCTTTGCCACTCAAGCACAGGGAAGTTTTTCCTCTGTGGACAGCCACTCCTGCAGGGAGCTCAGCCATTCTCTGCCAGCAAGAGGAGGGTGCAGATCCCCCCAAACAGGGACAGACCCCGTGGGACAGACAGCAGGACCAGCCAGGCTGGGATTTGGCCAAGGCACAGCTTAACGTGCAACTCCTCCTGCACTCGTGATGCACCAGCACTCGGTAACAGGATTTAAACAGCAAAATGCCCAGTTCAAAGTGTGAAATCCCCAGCACATCCCTGAGCTGGCCAGCACCAGAACAGAGCTCTTTGCTTCAGGCACAGCTGGCTCCAAGTCCAGCAGGCTGGAGCAGGACCACAGCTCGTCCTCAGCTGTTGCTAGGGCAGGAGCTCTGCAGGCTCCGGCTGGAAGGGTCGATGTGCCACACAGTGGAGGATTAGAAGGTTCAGAAATTATTTTCTTTGCATCCCTGCTGCCAGGAGGTGCCTTTATCTGGATTTCTGAGCCAGCCCACGGGTTATGCAACAGCACTCTGAACAACTCAAGAGTGTGTTGCCTTCAAAATGTTGCTTTTCCCCATATGAGGCTCATCCTCTTCCTTCCAAATCCTAAACCCTCCACTAACTCGATCCAAGTGGGGTCAGAGCACCCCAACCTCCCTCCCTCTGCTCCCCTCACCTTTTTGTTCTGACTTCTCTGGTTTCCTCCACAGCAGGCCCTTCCTGTCAGAGCTTGGCTCACCCCAAGGCAGCTGGAAAAATACCAAGATGTCCTGGAGAAACTGCTGGCAGAGCTGTTACAGGACACCCCAGATGGTACTGTCAGAGGGTTGATTTCTGCCTTGGGAATTCTGCCTTTCCTTCTTCTCACCAGCTCATCAGCACAGAGATATTTATATTCCCCAGAAGGGTTTTTGTGTCGTGTTTGCTCACTTTGTGGGGCCCTCAGATCCCAACCGCTCCCGTGTGCACCCTTCTGGGAAGGTTATTTCCTTCCTAAGGTGCTGCCCAGAGCTGATATTGACTGGAAGCAGCAGCACAACCCTTCCCAGCAGCTCTGTTTGCCACCTCCCTGCTCCTCCTCCTCCTCCCAAAAAGTCCTCAGTCTCCAGGGAACAATTTCCAGCAGAGCTTATAACAGCAACCGTACCTGCGAGGCAGCTCAGCATGTGCAGCCAGCTTGGAACACCTCTCTGCCTGCACGGGGGCTTAACACTGACACTTAATTACACTGCAATTTGCTGCAAATCCTCCTTTTCCTTTGGGAGACCGTGTGTGGGAATTGCAGCAGCAAATATCCAGGGGCAGGCTGTTGTGCTGCTCTTCCTCCTGCAGGTTGAGGGATGGTGGGATGGGGCTGTCCCTGAGCCTTTGCCTTTTCTGGGATGTTTAAGGCCAGGAAAGGGGGTCCTGCTCTCCCTGGGGGATTGCTCTGCTCTGCCTGTGCTCACCCCAGTTTGCCTCTGAGCTTTCAGCTGGGGAGCTGAGGAGGAGGAAACAACACATAAATCTGGCATTCATTCAGTCTTTCCAGAGCTTTAAGGACACTTGTGCTTGTCTCTCTTTTCTGTTTAGCTGACTGATATCTGCAGGATCAGAAGAGAGAGTGATGGAGCTGCTCAAGCTGAAAGACTCCACTTATATAAACGAAATTTGTGAGAGAGATTAACAAAATCTGAGGTGAGATAATAAATGTGCAACGTAATTAAAAGGAGGATTTGTGTCTTCTGTCCTGCAAGCCTCTCAAACAGATGGAAAGCGCCCAATGTGGGAAAAAGGAGAAAGGAAAGGCTCCAGGTTCTGGGGAACATCCCTGTTTTCCTAAGCACTGCTCTGAGGGTCCTGTGAGGAGCTGAGGGAGCTGGGAAGGGTTTGGAG